AGGAATTGGCAATAGGGTGGGAGGATGGGGGGAGGGTGGGGGAGTGCGGGAGGAGGGGAGGGAGAGGGAACTGGAATTGACATGTAAAACAAGCTATTTAAAATTAAAATAAAAAATTACTCAAAAAAAAAACATTTAAGACCAGGGCTATCTGATCTCCTGGTACCCAATGGCCATATTTCTGTTGACCAGCCAGAAGATCAGGAAGGCCACACCCAGGAAGATAGTCATGCCCCTCCAGCCATTCCTGTAGGATTTCTGCCTTCCCAAAGCCCAGTTAGCAGCCTGGTGTGCAGAAATAATCCTATGACATAAGCAGAATCTCAGGGGTTAAGGGTTTGTTAACTAACTGTAGCAAACAAATCAAAAGAGCCAGTTCCACTCAATGGGCTGAGGAAAGTATTAAGAGATGATAAATATCTGGATCATGAATCCCTCCTGTACCATTAGATGAGCCACCAATAAAATAAGTGGCTGCCTGTGGAGCATGAGGAGTTTAGACAATGTTGTAATCACAAATTCAGTTTGTGTGAGAAAAAACCATAGGTTTCCAGCTGGATTATGGTTTCCTATCTTCCACAGAGATCCGCAAATGGAATTTGGAAATCCATAGAGTTCGGTAACACTCTTAAAACTGTTAGTTAAGGATACTACTACACAGCAAGGATCAAATCCATGTAATTGTTGACATCCAGTCCTCCCCTGATTTACTAATTGAGCAAGAGGAGTAAGGTAAGAAGACAGTATTTTATGGCTCTTATGGTGTACATGAATCGCTGCCAAAGTTTATCCTTGTGTGATGTAATACCTGCAGGAGACAATTTAGTGGGGAACATAAGGGAGTTCAAAGGCAGTGAAAGATCCACATACTGCACAGATGCCTCTTTTAGTCTGGATTCTTTTCTTGCTTCACAAGGTAATCTGAGAGGGCTATCCAAAGCCATCCCTCCTTCTAGAGTTTAAATAGATTGCTTATATTGAAAATAGCAAGCCCATGGTGGATTTGGGAGCCAAATTTCCTTTCCCTGCTGGGCCCAAGCTTGCCTATGTTAGAAATTTAGTTTTCAATGGGTTCTCTTCAGGAAGTGGAGAAAATTCAAGATCAGATTGATTATCAAAATCCTCACTCCATGCTTCAGGGTCTGTTTTAGTCACTGGTGGAGTTTGTTTAAAGGAGGCTCCAGTACAGGAGATGAGGCAGTTGCCAGCAGCATAGACAATGGAGGCCATGTTTTTACTTTTGATTTTACCTTGATGGGGAAAAATCTCCCTTTACAAAACACACAAACACAGAAAGATTTTAAAGTTTAGTCCTCTGGTTGATATTCACTTAAGGAATTATCCATCTTTTCCTCATGATTGGTATCCTCTGTGTCATCCTTAAGCACTTGGATAGCAGTCCAAATTAAAGTTCAGGGACCCAAAGTTGAACAAGATCTTTCCTCCATGTCTGTGTGCCTTTTCAATATTCTTTCAGATTCTGTCCCATTCTTCTTCACTTAAAGTCCCTTCTTCTGGAAACCAAATATTATAACCACAAACAAATTACAAGAAATTCAATAGTTGTGATGTTAGTATGTGTGCTCCTTCTTTCATTAAGAAAGATGCACAGGTTAAACAAAAAGCAAAACCATCCATGGTTTCTGCCGCTGTATTCTCACTGACCTCCTTCTGAGAGGATAATCACCACTTACCTCATAGACAACTTCAGGTCCAAGTTTCAGGCACCGTTTGTCATATATCTAGACCTAGGAGACAGGAGCCAATAAACTAGGTGGACTAAAGTCTGATGCAATAGCCAACTTCATTCAGAGCATCAGATAACTTACACTGTGAGAGTTAAGAAGAGTCACACGAGCCCTTCTCTAGCCATCCGGCAAGGTGGATGGATGTAGGGCCCGACCTAATCAGTTTAGCTCATTAAACAACTTCAATAAAACAGTCTTTGCATTTTGAATCACACATGAAATGTCCAGTCACAAAGGAAGCCACATGTGGCTAACAAGGTGTGCATGGTGCTCAAGCCTCACATGGCAAAAATATGTTTTTCTATAGAAGCATGTAACCAAATAACTATAGCCAGTTGTAATAAATAATCTGAAATAAGCTCCTATGCACTACACATGGGAGGAGTATGAAAGCATGATCTGAGGACAATTCTGTGTTTTTTGAAGCAAATGGGGTCACAAGACTCTTGTCTTGGTTACCTGGAATATTCTCCCAAGCACTCAGAAATCTCCTCACAGGAGTGCAGTCTTGAACTGTGTTCATAAGCAGAAAACATTTGTTTTCTGCATATTCTATGACTGAAGCCTGTAGTGTTTCCAGCAATAGGGTCTTGCCATCAAGTTGCAGTGCAATATCAAGATCAATGGCAATAGTCTACGTGGTGGTTTGAATGAAATTATCCCCATAGCTCCATAAGGAGTGGGACGTTGGGAGATGATGAGGTTTTGTTGGAGTCGGTATGGCTATTGAAGTATGTCACTGGGAGTGGGCTTTGGAGTATCAGAAGCCCAAGGTAGGCTCAGTTGTCCTCCCTATTCCTGCTCCCTGTGAATCCAGATGTAGAACTTTCAGTTACCTCTCCTCACCATGTCTACCTGTCTGCCACCATGCTTCACTCCATGATGATAATGGACTAAACCTTTGAACTATAAGCCAGACCAGTTGATTGCTTTACTTTATAAGAGGTGCCCTGGTGTCTTAGTTAGGGTTTCTATTGCTGGGAAGAGATAAGATGACCATGAGAAAATCTCATATATGAAAATTTTATTTGGTGTGGCTCATTTAAAGTTCTGGGGTTCAGCTCATTATCATCATGGTAGTGAGAATGGTGACATGCTGCCAGACATATTGGTGGCTGCATTTTGATCAGAAGGGAACAGGAAGTGAACTGAGACACTGTGTGGGATCTTCAACACAGGAAATCTCAAAGCCTGCCCCCATAAAGACACAATTATAACAGAGCCATACTCACTCCAACAAAGTCACAACTCCTAATAGTGCCACACCTTATGAGATTATAGGGACAAATTACATTCAAACTGTCACATGGCCATAGTGTCTCTTCAAAGAAATAAAACCCTAGCTCAGACAGTACTTGCTGTCAGAAGTGGTGTATTGCTGTGTTGGGATGGCCACATTTTTGTTTGGAGGATTGTAGACTTTGGACTAGAAAAGCAGTTGAACACTTTAAGTGGGGCTTAATGGGCCTCACCAGTAGGAGTATGGAAGATAGTGGTGCTGAGAGTGCTTTGAACTGTGAGGGCCTGACTCAGGAGGTTTCAGAGGAGAAGAATTTTAGTATGTGGACGAGAGACTGTTCTTGTGTTATTTTACACTCTGGAAGCACAGGCAGGTGGATCTCTGAGTTCATGCAACATGGTCTACAGCCTGAATTCCAGGACTGGTAAGCTTAGACAGTGAAGGCAACGATAAAAACCAGAATTCTGCTGAAAATGTATGTGAAGGAGGGGCAATGTTCCATCTTCAGGAAGCAATAGAACTTTTAGTTTATCACACACGGTTCTGGTTTTAGAGAAGTGGTTCTAAACCTTCCTAATGCTCCAACCATTTAATATAGTTCCTTATGAAGTGATGACACACAACCATAATATTATTTTCATTGCTGCTTCATAGTTGTAATTTGGCTACTGTTATGGTTTGTAATGTAAATATCCTACTGTCTAAGGATACCCCTTGTGAATGGAGTTTTCAATACCACCCACAAAAGGGAAGGGGTCCTGACCCACAGGTAGAGAAATACAGCTTAAGGGCCAATGATACCAGAAAAGGGTTATAGAATCTCACTCCACAACTAAAGAAATGTAATGAGGCCAGGCAACTAACAGGGGTGTTTGTTTGAGGACATTCAAAGAGGCCAATGCATGAAGTCGAATAAATAAATAAATAAATATTTTTATTAATTCTTTGAAAATATCACACATTAAATTCTGATCTTATTTACCCCACACTCCTCTCCCTAACCCCTTCCAGAACTAACCTTAGCTCCCTAACCCTTGGTTTATGTCCTCTTTCTTAAAAAAGAAAAGAACCCATGGAGTCTCCTTCAAGATTTTCAAATTAATGTCTGAGCCTTACAACATGTCGAGTCTACACAGAATGCACGTTAGCCCCATGACCAGGTTGGTCAGAAGTCCCCTAGTTTGGTGTCAGTCATGATTTATGTACAGCATCTCATCATGAGAAACACTGGAAACCTGGTAGTTGAGAGACTGAAGTTCTAGCACAAGGGAAGCACAGGGTTGACAAAGAGTCTCATGTCAGTCAGAGCTAACAGAGCCTGACTACCACTGCAAGACCTGCACACAGGTGGGGACAAAGGGCTTGGCACATTTCTGGACAGCTTGATCATTTCTGCACACAGCTTTTTCAGTGAAAGGTCAGCTGATTTGGGACAAGGAAAAGCAGGTGCTTCCAGGAGTCTCTGTACCTCACAAGCTGGGCTCTACCTGCAACTCTATTGTGAATCACCCATGCTGTATGTATTTATTCATTATTCATCTATATATTTTTGTGCTGTTTATTCTAAAACCCAAGGCCAAGGGAATGCCAGGCAAGCACTAGCTAATAATCCACAACCAAACTCAAGCTAAAAGATTAATGATGCAGACAGGTAGAAAATAAGATGAGGTTACTGTTGGAACCAAGTAGAAGGGGCAGAAGATGGTACCCCACAGGCTGAGTGCCAGCAATAAACCATGGTGACTAATGAGAATCTGAGATGATGAGGCAGATGTGAGTTCAGACAATTGAGCTAAGGAAGCAGCATTGTCAACTGCGTTCCTCCTCTCAAGGGTGATGGTACCTGTGGGAAGATGAAGGAATGACAGGAGAGAAATGTAATGGATCCTCACAGAAATATCCCTGAAACAATTCTAGCTGCTTTCCCAAAGCTAAGTGCCTCCAGGGATGTTTGCACATAGGTTGGCAAAGAGCAAGGGTGGGTCAGGCTGGGAGAGAACTGAGGTCTGGATGACCTGGGATTCCCTGAATGAGGTAGGTGAGGCCTCTGTGACCTCACAATTGAACCCTGCCCTAGTAATGCCAGCGTCTTACCTGAGGACAAGCCAGAGTCCAGAAGGAGGGCTTGAACCACAGCAAGTGCATGTGACTGGGTAAGTTTGGGCTGTTTTCTGGGATGGACACTACCTGAAATTAATCATGTGAGTGACTCACTCGGTTTGAGGCACTTCTTTATTGAGATCTTAAGTAGGGACAATGAAACATATTTGAAATGCCCCAGCCTGAGGAGAGCTCATCCTAAGAAGAGCTAGAAACAGCAGGAGTCAGAAGTCTCATAGCAGTGGGACTGGCCCTACAAGACCACATGGAGAGAAACCCCTCCACTCACAGAGAGAGAGAGGCCTTGGGATGAAGCCACACAGGTGGATCTGCACCAGGACTCCAGCCTCTGACCTAGGTGATAAGGACGGAGGGTTCCTGTTTGTATGCCTACATTAGACAATCACATGCAGGTTGATCAGGGAGTGTGGGCAAAGCATCCCTGGCACTGATATCTGTTCTTCCCTGATAATTCTGGTCCCTGGTGTTAACAATGTTTTCATTTATACTAAGACAGACATAGACAGCTGCCATAATTTGGGATCAGAATCCAATGTCACTGTCACAGGAAGCACCATGGCAGTACTCTCCTTCTAATTCTGTATTTATACATGTTTTCACTTGGATGTGTTTAGAGGAATGTTTATGCTCTGTGGAGGGAGAAATATACACAGGATTCCTGGGATGAAGTCATAACTTAACCTCACTGTGATATACTGGGAGCAGGGATGATAAAGGATATGAGGCACAATGTGGTTCTTTAACAGGACCTGTACTATAGCTGTATAAAAAGCTGCAGTAAGTATCTGAAAGATGTGTGACAAAACTAGTGTAACAAGGACTCAGGAAGCCAACACCCACAACTCACTGGAGAAAGAGGCCATGGGAAGTCCACACCCAGCCTGTATCACATGATAAGACTTCAGGCTCCAGGCTGATGCAGAATAAACTCAGCTAGTGAGCCCAAGCCAGGGACAACCTTCAGCTAAGGCAGCCCACAGTGTCAGGACAGGTAGGGAGTGTGTCATTGTCATTACTGCAGGGCTCTGAAGGGACATTGCTTCTAGACAGCACAATCCTTATCTTTTATAACTATGGGTTACACCCAGCATGGCTGAAGTCAGGGACACAATAGTAAACAGAACTACAGCCATCTCCCTAAGCTATCCACATTTACATTTAAATTATATGTAAAATTTAATGAAGAGAGGCCTCTGAAGAGAGTGTCAACTCAGTGCATAGTCTATCACTTAAGCCTTGAGCCTCCAGAATGTTAAAGATAATTACTGGCACCACCCACCCGTTTGTGACATCCCCACAGGAAGCACATGCTTCACAGGTAGGGGTGATTCTCATGGGATTCTCTAGACATGAACCTTCCTGGCAATCATCTTTACATTCAGCTCATAGGCCCTTCCCAGAATGGCCACAGTCACTGATGCCATACTCGATCCATCTTATTTTCAAATTTAAGCTTTTACTTATGAGACCTGAGTTAATATATTTGTGGTTGAATCTGTGAGTATGTCTGAGTGGATTTTGTCAAATTTCTTCAACTAACCACAACCTGTATTTGTGAGAAAAGGTGACAGCTGCTGAGGCAGAGCCAGCACCTGACTTGGAACTCCAGTTTCTAAATGACAACAGGAAGAATCTCTGCTGTTATACAGATCTCCAGAGCGACATTCTCAGAAGTCATTGACTGTTTCATGGCAGGACCAGGTAAGGGAATTTCATGACATCCTGCTTTCTGGGCAATCCTCCTGCAAGCTATGTTTAATAGTGGTGATGGGAGTGGCTGCACCCCAACATTTTCCATCAGCTGGATACCCAAAATCCTGCAGATGGCACACTTAAAATCTCATGACAAGAGAAACTTATTAATAAACTGAGCAGCAGAAATGACACACCAAGAGATGAATTGTGCCCATTAGGGCAGAGTATGATCCTTCCCTCCTGAACATGCTGGTCCCAGGGGTGAAGTTCCCTGGAGGAGAAGGACTAGATGTGAGCTTGTTCCCAAGAAATGATCTTAAGAGAAGCCTTCAGGTACTTCCCCTAAATGCCAGCCCAAAAGACATCTGTGGGCATTGACAGCCTTTGAGTTTCACAGACAGAGTGAGGCCTGGCCTCTGTGACCTCAAATGAGGGTCACTGTCATAGTTCAGGGTGTGACCCAGTTCAGAGGGCAGCAGAGTCCAGTATAGTGGACCAGGATTTAGCTCAGGAGAAGGTGGGCAGAGATCTATTTCAGGTAAGTGATTGCAGAAAATTCTGTAGGTGAAGAAGTGATCTCAAACCAGTGTACTTGGCAGGGGGCTCTCTGGAAAGGGGTGACAATGGCAGATTCGGTGTCTGAGGGGTTTCTGATTGACACGACAGATATGACCATGAGATGGGTTACAAAAACAAGGATCAGAGGAATACCCTCGCTGAACATGGCCATGTAGGACATTCAGAAAGAGGATGCCATCCCCACTCAGCAAACAGATGTTTTGATTATCGGTAGAGATTTCTATGCCTTAGCAAGGCATCCTCTAGATGATGGGAGGACTAACCTCTGCTGTTTCCTCTTACTGTGATATTCCATCAAGGGTTCAGACCACAGAAAGGAAATATACCATGGTTACTTGGTGGGACTCTCCTAATTGTATCTCACAACCTAGAAACAACAGATATTCCACATGAGCTCACAGATACCCCTCCACCATAGACAGCCAGCTGTGCAACAGGAAGGACTTACCCAAACAGCTTTCTCTCCTACCTATATCATCTTTGTATAATGTATAATTATTTCATGTGAACTGTGGGCTACTTCTGTCTATTTCTCTGCAAATTTCCCCGAGGACAGGTCAGTGATGTTGTGAGAACATGTAAGATGCTATTATCTTCCACTATCAAAGTCCACCTGGCTTTTCTTTTAATTTTTCAGAAATGCTGAAAATAGATCAAGACTTAGTCAAAGATTTGGGCAAAAATCGGCTGGAATGGATGGACTACCTCCACCCTTATGATAAACAGGTACTCTGACCCTGAAAAAGGCTGGACGCCAAATCAGAAGATATGGGGAACCAAGGAATTCCCTTACCCTAAAGAAGCCTGGGCCCAATAGGGAGAAAACATGGGCCTGGGCCATTCAAATGAAGGAAGCCAGGGCTAAACCAAGAAAATGAGAGTGACCAGGCCAATCCTGACCCTGGAAAAGCCCGGGCCCAAAGCAAGAAGAGATGTGGGCCTGGGCTAACCCCTGACCCTTAAGAAGCCTGAGCACAATTATCCAGAGAATTAGGCCTGGGACAATCAAAAGAAAAAGGCCTGGGCCAGACCAAGAAAATGAGTGTGCCCAGGCCAATCCTGACCCTGAAAAAGCCCGGGCCCAAAGCAAGAAGAGATGTGGGCCTGGGCTAACCCCTGACCCTTAAGAAGCTTGAGCACAATTATCCAGAGAATTAGGCCTGGGCCAATCAAAAGAAAAAGGCCTGGGCCAGACCAAGAAAATGAGTGTGCCCAGGCCAATCCTGACCCTGAAAAAGCCCGGGCCCAAAGCAAGAAGAGATGTGGGCCTGGGCTAACCCCTGACCCTAAAGAAGCCTGAGCACAATTATCCAGAGAATTAGGCCTGGGACAATAAAAAGAAAAAGGCCTGGGCCAGACCAAGAAAATGAGTGTGCCCAGGCCAATCCTGACCCTGAAATAGCCCGGGCCCAAAGCAAGAAGAGATGTGGGCCTGGGCTAACCCCTGACCCTAAAGGAGCCTGAGCACAATTATCCAGAGAATTAGGCCTGGGCCAATCATAAGAAAAAGGCCTGGGCCAGACCAAGAAAATGAGTGTGCCTAGGCCAATCCTGATCCTGAAAAAGCCCGGGCCCAAAGCAAGAAGAGATGTGGGCCTGGGCTAACCCCTGACCCTAAAGGAGCCTGAGCACAATTATCCAGAGAATAAGTCCTGGGCCAATGAAGAGAAAGAGGCCTGGGCCAGACCAAGAAAATGAGTGTGCCTAGGCCAATCCTGACCCTGAAATAGCCCGGGCCCAAAGCAAGAAGAGATGTGGGCCTGGGCTAACCCCTGACCCTAAAGAAGCCTGAGCACAATTATCCAGAGAATTAGGCCTGGGACAATTTAAAAAAGAGGCCTGGGCCACACCAATAAAATGAGTGTGCCCAGGCAATTCCTGACCCTGAAGAAGCCCGGGCCCAAAGCAAGAAGAGATGTGGGCCTGGGCTAACCCCTGACCCTTAAGAAGCTTGAGCACAATTATCCAGAGAATTAGGACTGGGCCAGTAAATAAAAGAGTCCTGGGCCAGACCAAGAAAATGAGTGTGCCCAGGCCAATCCTGACCCTAAAAAAGCCCGGGCCCAAAGCAAGAAGAGATGTGGGCCTGGGCTAACCCCTGACCCTAAAGGAGCCTGAGCACAATTATCCAGAGAATAAGTCCTGGGCCAATGAAGAGAAAGAGGCCTGGGCCAGACCAAGAAAATGAGTGTGCCTAGGCCAATCCTGATCCTAACAATGAAGAAATTTTGGCACAAAAACTAATGTAATATCAGCACAGATTAATCCCCTCCCAAAGAGGCCTGAACCAACTGCCAATCTAAAGTTAAACAACACTGTGGTTGCAGTTTGTACCATGAAGTTCTTTGATCAAGGCCTTAATTTCAGTTCTTATTTTACACCTAACCAAGACATCAGGGCACACTTGTCACAGATAGCCTTGTACAAACCTCTATGCTTCCTATAATGATTGATATAAGTGACATTCTGAGTACCAGATGTGTGGCTCTCACACACACACACTTCATTCAATCCAACATCTTCAACACGCTAAAAAGGATGACAACATTGCCATGAAGTGCCAAGGACTCACCTAAATAATCCAGTAACATGGATGCACCTTATCAAAAAGGGTGTTACAATGCACCCTGCACCTTATCTTGACTGACTTTTTTTAAAGAAAATTTCTCATACTCTAGTCATAGACTGCTCACCAAGAATCTTGGGCAAACCCAGAACTTGATCTGATTAACTGAAATCTGGATGCATTATCCCCTCCTAGAAGGGGAACTTGATAATGACATGATTATTGACACAGGTTCAAGGCCATAAGCTGATCCGGAAAGGAAACCCAGCACCTCCTTGAACCCTAAGTAGACTGGACTAATATTACATGGTGTGTGGACCACACCCTCTCGTCAACCCAGGACAAGATCCCACCACAAAGGAGGGAGTCTTTAAAGGGACAATATATCACCTTAATTACCTAAGGAAAAGGACATACCTATGATGCCGACCTGGTCTGAGGCCAGGCATTTTCTCACATCAATTTATTTTGTTGGACAAATAGCCTCATTTGTGACCCAATCTATGATATTTCACTTAGAAATTTGGACTCAACCACAACCGATCTTGCACTGATGATTGACATTATATCATAGACCATGAACTGTCATAAATGCTAATCTAGATTCTTCTTTGTGGTACCACTGTAGTTTGTGGGATGTACCTGTTATTCTTCCAACACATCCAACAAACAATCTCACAGCAGATGGATTAAGACCTCATTGCTCTCTAGTAATCTGAGTGTCACATAAACATCAAATAACAGCACAGCTCGGGATCAAGGGTGTGTGGGCCGCACCCAGCAAATCCTCTGTGCCCATGTCTTCCTGTATGAGGACTTTCAGAGAGCAAGGATAAAAAGCTGACTTGAAGTCTGACCTAGGTCACACCTACTGCTCCCAGAAGGTTGAACACACTTTAACACCATGAGTGGGGTGTCTGAAGAATGGCATACTCTGTGTACCTTCTACTACCTGGGTCTAGCTTAAATGTTAGGGTATGTGGGCCGTACCCTCTCTCCATAGACCCAGTGATACACTCACAGCAAGGGAGCAAGGACTATGCAATGACCTTTAATGGAACAAGGAACCACTCTCCTTAATATCAAGAAGAATTAGATAGCACAGGGTCTTATTGTGATTCACCTGAAACCCGCCCCCCACCATTCCATCCATCAAAAATCTTGATTCCTAAACAAGGCTTCTGAAGCTGATGACTGAAGGACAATCAAAATCAGTATGACTGGGGGCTAACTTAACACCAAGAAGCCTGAGTCAAGCTTAACTTCGACAGTTGTAGTCCTCATTCTCTCTTCATCACACCCAGGAGATTTCTTACGTTGGAGGATCAGGAGCACAAGCCATGGCCATCTGGACATCTGGGCCACACGAGATAAACAGTCTGGGCAGACACTGGCATGATGGGTGTGTGGGCCGCACCCTGGAGTCATTGTGTGCCCAACTGCTACCTGGTCTTCAAGAGATCCAGGACAAGATGATCTCATGTGTGTTAACACCAACACCTCAGAGGAAACTGGAACCACCACAAGGACCAGCGCAGGCTTCAAGACCTAGCCACTCCGTTGACCTTGACCTTCAATTGGATTTGATTAAAAATAACAAGTAACTTAAAAATGTGATGACCCTGGAGTACAGACACAACTTTAATGTGGATGTCTAGTAGAAAACACTGAAATCCACACTCTGGTGGAAACTAGACATAGTTTCTTATGTTTCTTTAGTGTCACCAGAGCCTACCTAGAAGAAGCAAGACTTATTCCCTGATTTCTATAGATCTCTGCCTTTATCTTATGTAACTAACACAGTGTCATCTTACAATATTCTTTCTCAAGTATTTCCTGCCCTACCATTATGTATATAGTC